TATACAGTCAGTACGCACGCAACGGTTTTAAATAATAGAGGTTTGCGCTTGCAAGTTTGTGGCTTGTGTTATTTATTGAGCAAAGCCTAGACTTGAAGGGAAAAATGAATTAATTGAAAAGGATTCAACGAAACGTGGCATATAGTTTTGTTGCATTTTTTGTATTTTCGAGAATTAAGATTGACTCACACTCACAGTTTGTGCTCTTTTCATCCTAAATGTATGCTTCAAGAAGTTCAATTAGTTTTTCGAATACTTTCCTTAATTTCCTTCTCTCCTCCCTTAGTTCAACGGAAGTATATTAGGCGAATAGCGTAAGGTAAACATTTTATGATCAGCACCTGTCTTTTCTTGGTATTTCCAGTTGGCAAAAAACAGCGAAAAGCAACAATGAATAGCGCAATCTTGTTAACTCGGATATAGTCGAGTGAGCGGTATCTACGCCAGTCTCTCTCTCTCTCTCTCTCTCTCCCTCTGTCCCTCTGTCTCTCTCTCACTCTCTGTCTCTCTCTCTCTCTCACTCTCTGTCTCTCACTCTCTGTCTCTCTCTCTCTCTCTCACTCTCTGTCTCTCACTCTCTGTCTCTCTCTCACTCTCTGTCTCTCACTCTCTGTTTCTCTCTAGGAATGTTGACTCCTAGCAATGATTTATCTCTGAAAATCCTTCTTGTTGCTCGTTTCTTCTTTCACTAATCATCTCTTGATAGTTTTCTGACCTTTTTCGGCTTTTAAATAGCTGAAAATAGTAAGAAATTCGAGATGTGTTTCAACAAGTACGAGTATCAGGTTGTTAATTTCCAGCTACGTAAACGTCTTGGCATGAGAATCTATCCCGAGCTTGTGACGAGTAAAAATGGTGCCCTTCCCGAAGTGAACATGTTTCTCTTGGATACTCTAGTTTCCACTGAAATCGTTTTAGAGATTTTTTCTACACCCAAGCAAATCTCTCTCACTTCAACTCTGCACTTGTTGGCTTGATACTAAGCCATACGTAACTGTAAAGGCCTTGTAGTCTAATTGGAATATTCTTGGACTCACAAATTGACATAATTTTCATATGATGAGAATACCGTCTAGTAGACTTCGTCGAAAGCTTTCTAATTATTAGAGTATCCTCTGTATTTACCCTATAATTGCTCTGTTTTTTATTAAACTATTTAAAGATGGAAACATCTGTTCCAGTTCAGATGCGCTGTCGGGCATAAGATTGTCGTCTTGCCAGATTCGTGATTTACTTAAATTACTTAATACAAAATAAAACTTTACGGGAGGTTGTAACGGTGCAACATGGAATTAAGTCATAATCGCCATAAGCAACCTTCTCCAATTCGATGGTTTTAAGTTGTGGTTGAACAACTGATGCATTTCTTCGATGAACTCTTTATTTCAAGTCCAAAATATACTCAGGGAGATTAACAATTTCTGCCAAAGAGCGAACATAATTAAAAAAAATTTACACATTAATCTTAAATTAATATTATTGGTCTGACCAGAAGCGCACCCTTTACCCACTGCCTTGCAGCTCGTACTTCTAACCGATCAGCTACAGCGACTGCCGTAAATATTCTAGTCTCTTTAATAAATTGCCTGATTGTAGGAAACGTTTTTTGAAGAGATCTCCGTCCGAAAACGTTGCCTACATTTAGGCTCGTTTTGAAATTTGCAGAACTCTGTAAATTTCAGATCTCTGCGATTAATGGGTTATGCTGTGGGTTGGCCCATCAATTATTCATGGAATGCTTTCACTATAAACACACGAGTAAACAGATTTCGAATATTCAATTTTCTTTTTCTGTGATAAAAAGTTCTTGGTTTTTAAATAAATAATTTTTAATTAAATATACAAATTTTCTCACTTCAGAATTCCGATGAATCATTGCCTCTTGAATTTCGTGCGCCCAAACATACAATATAAAAACCACAAGTTATTTGCTTGAAAGTCCAACTTAAATTTCAAACGGTTTACGTAGTTCCGTTATATTGGTTAATGATGTCAACATTGTAAATATAATTTTATTCATAAAACGAAAATCAATGCCAATGTCCAAACCACGAAATTATATTCCCTCACAGCCTTTCAAGCAATTCATTCCTACATTTGTACACACACACACACACACACACACACACACACACCTATCCACAGGCAATGTTTACATACGTAAGTCCTGTGTGGTAAAATGGTGAAATGCGCGCAATTATAATGTCAAATGTCATTTGACGTCAGCAACCAAATGCGTCCCTATGCACAACACAGCCGAGCACAACATAAAAGATTTCCAGGAATTTCGCGTAAACATTTGCGTTTAAACAACAACCGCAACCCACGCGTAAACAGGTCGTATGGTTGTTGCTGCTTTTTTCTGATTTCATGTTTTGTGTTGCTAGACATCCAAAGTCGAAAAGGGCAGACGGAGCGTCCGGTTAGTTGTAGCCTAAGGCGGAAATGGGTTAATGTGTTTGCTAGTTACATGCGGATAATTATTAGCATATGTACACATACATACATATATATGTAAATGTTTGTATATGTGCGTGTTGTTCGTACATATTGTGAACTCATAAAATAGCGCACACTCGCATAATTAAACTAGCTGCATGATTCTTTGGCCCTTTTAATATACATAATTTTTTGGATTTCCTTTTCAAGGCTTAACTAGTGGATTAAGTACTCCATGGGGAGGGCATGGCATTTATTTAGTGATATTTTCGCTACGTAAAACCAGATTACTAATGGTTTCCTATACTCTCAAGGTCATATCGAAATATAGGGTGTTTTTCAAGATGAAATAAAACGCAAATAATTTAATGTTAAGACCAAAATTTTTGCTCATTTATAAAGATGAGGGGTTGACATTATGATTTTAAAATGTAGTCGCACAAGTAACCCGAAAAATTTCCAGCCGAGAGTACAACTTTTAGAACACTTTTTGCAGCAATTATGGCCGTTTGTCAGCAAGAACGCGCCGAATAATATTTTCTTAGCCGACAATTGTCTCGGGCTTACCCCACGATACCCCATAAAAAATTATACAGCGGTGTTTAATCGCTGGATCTTGGAGACCGCGTCACAAGCCAAAGGAAGCGCGATAATGCGCTCACCAAAAGTCTTCTTCAATAAATTGAAACAATTAATCGTTGGCTTTAAGGCATGGAGCGCCGTCTTGTTGGAAGCAAGGATCGTCCGCATAAACATCCTTCATTCCCTTTGCTCTAGAGCACACCATAAAGTGACTTTTTGAAGATACGTCTCATTAATTTCTCGTGATTGTCATCACTCCTCGGGCTCAAGTCCCTGTACGACCATGAAATGAAAGCTCCTCGTTAAAAAACCATCATCCGTTCGGAGGCGGCTTAGAATAATCTGTAGGTCCCTCCATTTGTTGGACAAAACATCAAGACGCAAAACCTCAAATTGGAGGAGGAGCTCGGCCGAAAATCGCTCAAGCGGTTACAAAGCGCCAATTATATATATATCATCACTCCAAATGCGACGATCTTATTTATTAACGTAGCCATTCAATTTGAGGTTAGCTTCATTGGTGAACAAGATTTTCTTGTGGAAATAGGGATCGGCGGCCGCCTCGTTTTGAGGCCATTCACTGAACGTGCGACCCGCTTGTTGGTCGTTCGACTTCAATTCTTGTTTGAGGTAGATTTTGTAAACCGGCAAATTAAGATCCGTCGACAAAATCCCTTTTAAAGGAATGGACACTGTTTCAATTGTTGCGCATGTGATGGCGAACAGTCGTTCGCAATACTTTGCTTCCCAGCAGCAATATCGTCTTTATTGCGCACTGTGAGGCGTCTCTCAGGTTGCGCTTTATTCACTAAAGTAAACGTGAACGTAGCGCGCAATGCGTCGCCGAGAACCGAACCTTTATTTTGGTAATAAATACGAGTATGCACGACTTGCAAATTTTGTTACGAACTAAGTGTGTTGGTTATGAAATAACCGAACTCAGAATAAATCAAGTAACTAAGTAAAGCTTGGTGCCTCATTGAAAACCACACATGTAAAAAACACCCTTTATAAATTTGTTTTAGTTGAGCTATCAGTAAAAGTTAAGCGTAATTTTGTTGTGTGTCTTTGTGTGTGTCTCCCTTGTGAACTACACTTTAATCACTCGAATTAACGCAAACTTTTCCACCACAACATTAATTTTATTTTCACTTTGATTGGGTTTATAGCAATTTTATTTAGGAATTATGCAGAGCCCTCCTTTAGCATTAGGGTGGGACTACTCTTTACTGTGCCGTATATTATGCTGACAATCAAGTCATTTAGTTTGGAGACTAATAAAAGAAAAAATAAAGATAAAAAAAAGATACTCCTGGCGGTACACAATAAAGTCTGAAAATTCTGGAAAATCCGTAAATCTTGATACTATGGTTGCAATGTAGAGCCAGTGTACCACTTTAGGAGAGAGATGCAATCTCTTGTCGATCATTCCTCTGTAGCAGTGTTCTTTCTCTCCTCGATGCTCGCTTCCTTGAATGCCTTTCTCTCCGGATTTGCTTTCAAGTTTTTAATATTGTCGACCAAAAACGGCTAACAGGCTTTATCGAGAAAAGGACCGCAACGTGAACCAGTCTTTACGGCATGTCCAGTCTTTGCGACATGCGGCAATATCAGCTCTGAGCGCTAAATCTGTTGCCTCTTAGGTGCCAGTCCAGTCAACAGGAAATACGGTTGAATCCTATTGTAAAAAGAGGGTGTTTAAACCTACTGCGGGTCTCCCATCATCTCAAAAGTGTTTAGTTATTTTAAAGACCAATCCTTTGAAGATTAAGATGGCGAACGTGGGCTCCCTCAGAAGACGATGGCTCATTTCAATTTAAAAGATATTTATTCTCAGGGTTGAAAAAATTCTTCAGCCACGAAAACGCAATTCCTTTACTGTTAAAGTGAAAATTCACTCAATAAAATTTCTAATGTTTTCTCCGTTTAACTCTCTCTCTCTCTCTCTCTGTCTCTTTATCTTTTCTAATCTCCCGCAGGGCAACATGAAGGGCAAGCATTTGACGCGTAGTCACGCCATGCGCGAAGCCACATCGCCACCGCGCACACCGACACCACGTGCCGAGCACGGACAGGTGTCACCGAACGGTCAGTCGTCGAACAATTACCAACAACAACAACATCACCATCCAGCACAGCAACAGCAGCAGCATATAGATGGCAATGAGAATGCACACAACAACAATAATAGCAATATTAATAGCAGCAATAATAATAATAACAACAACAACAAATTGCATGCACAATCAAATGCAGCCCGTGGCAATTCACCGATAATCGAAGCGCCAGCCGTGATTGTAACTAGTCAGCATAATCAGCAGTCGCAACAGCAACAACAACAGCAAACGAATGTTGCATTATGCAACGAAGCCGAGTTCCCCAAGCTAACACCGCCAAAATCGACAAAGGGCGGCGGAGGCGGCAGTGGTGGTAGCGGTGGAGGTGGTGGAGGCAGCGGCGGCGGCGGTGGTCAGCGTAACAGCAATAATAACAACAGCAGCAATAGCAATAACAGTAATAGTAATGGCGTCGCCGATGGCGGCAATAACAAAATAGAATATAACAACAATAATGGCAGAAAATCCGCAAGCGGCAGTGTAAATGGCGGTGGAAATGGCAGCGGCGGCGGCGGCGGCGCTGTCTCTTATGACTCAACAAAGAGCGCTAGCAGTGGCAATGGCAACAGCTGCAACAACAAACATCAGCAATACAATGCCAGCAATGCTCTACACCAAGCGCTCAATGTGGGCGAATCGGGTGCGCGTGGCGGCGGCGGGGGCGGCAGTGGTGGCGCTGGTACATCGCTGCACAATTCCGGCATGAACTATCAGCTGAATGCCAATGACAGCCAACAGCAGCAGCAAACACATCATCAGATCACCTACGACAAGGAGAACCGCTGCCCACGCAACGACAGTCAGAACAGCAGCATGTCTAATATGCATGATGACGATTCGCCACAACAGCAGCAACAGCAGCACTATGAGCGTCAAGGTGGAGGCGGCGGCGGCGGTGGTGGTGGTGGAAAGAAGCATCGCACCAATTCCAACTCGAAAGGCAATAAGCCGCGCTTGAAGAATATCGGTGGCTCATCTTCGGGCAGCGTAGATGGTGGCAACTCGAATAGCAACAACACATCGGGCTTCATTTCAAGAGGTGCGTAACGGGAATTTACTTAATCAATTTAATTTATTCATAATTTTTAGTTTTCAACAACTCAGAGAACTCGAGCGAACAATTTACGGATCATGGCGGTACCGATTTGTTCAGCTTCTTCAAGGAGACACTCAATAAGCATCCGAAAGATCGACACTTCCTACTGAAGGTGGAGAAGGACCTAACCGAATTTGTGCAGGAGAAGAGGTGAGTGGGCTTATTGAGTTGAGCAGCGTGTTTCTATAATATATAATGGCTTTCTTTTGTTTACAGTCGCGGTGAGTTACGCTTCCCACCGGCTTCGTCGTACAACCGCATGCTGATCCACCGCACAGCGGCCTTCTTTGGCATGGAACACAATGTCGATACCGAGACTCAGCAGTGTGTAATTGTTGCGGCCACCAAGAGTACGCGCATACCCGAGGTGAGTTTTGAGGGCTCAAAGTGATTAGTTTATTTCGAAAGAAATTCTCATAAATTTCCAACTACTCCTCCTTCAACTAGATTCGTTTCAAATCTTTGGTGCGCGATCATCGTGATGACACACGCAAGTCAATATTGAAACGCGACACGCACAGTTTCGATGAAGCACGTCAAAGCAGTTACCTATGCCCGGATCGTGGCAGCATGCTGGATCGCAAAGCCAAAAGTTTTGAGGAGCGCGAGGAAGACTATGAGCGTGCGCGCAGTCGTATATTCAACCGCAGTCAAAATGACAATGGTGAGGGCATGGATGATGGCTATATGAATGTGAGCTGGACACAATCGGTGGAGCACCAACAACAGCAGCAGCAACATCCACAAAATCGTTCACGTCCGAATGGGAAAATGATGAAGATGCAGAACGTAAGAGGGAAATTGAAAATACGACCCGCTTCGGAAATTAACTTAAATCTTTTATTTGCTTTTCAGTCTAACGAATCACGCGATGGCCGTAGCGGCGGTGGCGCTGTACCGAAATCACACAATTTCAATAATTATAGCGGTGGTGGTTCGCAAGGCGGCGGCGGCGGTACACCTCTGATGCGCGGCGACTCCGGCAGTTCGAGCAAAAATGGTGGCTCCGGCGGCGCGCGTTCGTACTCGAAACAAGATTCTGCAGGCAGCAACAACACGCCATGGCGTCTATCACCATCTAGCAGCGGGTAAGTGTATTGTTTGCAGTTTCCACTTTTTTATACCGAACAAATGAACTTTTAACCGTTAAGAAACAAAGAAAAGATATTGTAATAAACCACCAAAAGCTAAATAGTTGATTTTTTGCGCAACAAAAAAAAAAATAATAATAAAATTTAAACTTTTTTATTTCCACCCAACAATTATCATTATTACATCTACTACTATTTTGTTGTATTATTATATATTATTTAATTACAACTATAAACCAAAACAACTGTCATCACATTACAACCTTAGTTATAAAACTCAGACACAATCGTTGTATTCCGATTCGGTAACACCATCACCCAATGGTTATTGTAGTGAAGATCAAGCAACGGAGCCGCAATACATGCTGACAACGGACGGTATACCGGTGTGCCAATTACCATCACCAGCCCACCATATAACGCCACATCTGCATTTGGTGTGCGGTGCCGGCATACTGCCAGCGCATTGCTCCGATGCGACGCTCACGCCAACGCCGACACCATCAATGGAGGACGTCGCGCCGCTACTGCCGAATCGTGGTCTGGTGTGGGCCGTCACGGACATTTCGAGTGTGCCCAAAGGCAGCGTGCTAATCAATCCGCAAACATTGCAACCATTTGTTAACCAAGACGGGTAATTTACAAAACAAATCAACAAAAATATGCAAATTAGAATTTCAAAAGTGTCGTTTTTTAATTCTTTTCTATTCATTAATTAATATTCTAAATGCGACGGTAGAAATATTCATCGGTGGTGTGTCAAAGTCGAAAGAGTATTTAATCAGATGGAAAAATTCGCTTTAGAATATCAACATTTTTTTTTCATTTTTTTAGCTTTTGCAAGCATTGCATTGCAAGTGTTCTGAATAATAAATATTATATTTAGCGCTTCTGGTGGACAAATTTTTATTTTTACCAAACTGTGCTTCCTTAAAAAACTAAACATTTCAGTTTAAAAATAAATAAATTTGAAATATATTTAATTAATAAAAAAAAATTGCATACTTTTCGGCTCGAAGATTTTATTAAATCGTTGATTGCTCTACCATAAAGAGCGAATAACTTAATTTGTTCAAGAGTCCACTGTTTCTCTTCATCAAAGCAAAGCCAATCAAAGTAAAAATTAATACGCAATTTAAAGCTAAACTGAATAACTTTCGACTTTGATGCTGCGCCAAATTCTTTGTTGACAATGTAAAGTTTGCAAAATGTTTTCGGCTTATGCGCACGCTACATATATGTATAACAGCATTTAGCAAAGCATTTTTTAAGTAAATACATTTCATACGTCAATTTTTTTAACAACGCATTAGGAGAAGTAAAGTTTTAAGAATCAGGCAGGCTCCTATAGCATGAGGCAACGTAGGCATCACTCCACTCAGGTATGGTGCGCCGGCCCGAGGTACATACGGAAATGACACCAACCAGGGCGGGAGTAGCATCTGACTGGTGCCATGGTCAAATGCACTATGGTCCGACACACGGAACAGACTGTGCGGGGATTAGAAGCTGTTGAGGCTGATCCTCCACCCAGACAAATCAGAAAAGGAGTACTAGATTTAAATGACACCAACCAGCGAATCTCAGGCGAATGGCAGACAAAACTTTTCTTTGCTTCGTTGGAAGGTTCAGTTGAAGAGGGACCAGTTTTCTCTTGGTACTTCCAACTGGCGCCAAACAACGCTATTCTCAATTGGGCAATAATCGTATAAGCGTTGCTCACGCCAATGAAGAAGAGAAATTAGCCTCCGTAGCCAAGTGGTTGGTAGTGTATACTACCATGTGAGGTGTCTCGGGCTCTAGCTCTCGCCAGCACATCTAAAACTACGGAAAATTATTCAAATGAAAATAATATTTTTTTTGTTATTGTATGTCATGAAATAGAGCCACCAGACGTCCGGAAGGAGGCCTAAACGCATCAACAATATTGATATTCGCCCAATGTCTTCAGCGTTTGATCATAAATCCATAGATCAGATCTTAGTACAGAACAAAACGCTGAATGTTTTGAATAATGGTTTGATTGAACAAAATAAATATTCAAATTTCAAAAATTCCAACAAATGCTCACTAAGCCTTGCTTTTTTTAATCAACAAAGCCTATCAAATGTTGCATACCTTTGGGCGCAGTAGTTTTAAGCACGTCAATTAAAGTGAAAATTAAATAAAAAAATTATAAAATATCTTTAAACATTTTAATATAATTTATAAAAGTTAAAATTATTTAGGAAAATGGGAAAATTAAAAAAAAAAATAAAAAATGCTCGTGCCTTCAAAAAATATTTTCATTAAAATATATAATTGCTTAAAATATCGGCTTCCAATTGAGTAATTTATAGAATTAGCAAAGTATTTATTAGTTCTCAAAGTGCTAAAGTGCAAATTTTTCACCAATAATTCCACGCAAAAAAAAAGAAATCATCACTATTTTTTCACTTTTCTGCTAGCGTCATGCCTTTCAAGCTTCTCATAACACCTGCTACATACTCGTATTGTTGCTTCTAAGCATTTTGCAAACTAAGCTTAAAACAAAACAAACGAAAAAATATGTATAAAATATATATTTATATGTATACAAAAAACATTCATTTCTGCTGTTGTTATTTAATTTGCATAAACTTTTTTTAGCTATGATATGTAAAAAAAATTGTTTTCGTAAATTATCTGCCAATGATAACAACAATAATAAAGCAGACTAATCGTAGCCACAACCACCAAACGCATCAACATCATCATAATCGTGCAAGCACTCGGCAACGCCTTGCAGCATAATTGTTATTTTTTTAATTAAATATAATTAATTTAATTATTACTATTAACCACTATGTATTTGAATATTTGAATAACAAAATAAAATTGTTGAACATGTTTAGATGTATTTTTTGTAAATATGTTTTTTTTTTGCTTATATAATGCAACAAGCTCTTGTGTGTGTGTGTGTTTATTCGAAATCTATTTTATGAGCTCATCAAAACGCACACATCTACATATATACATTTAAAAACAAGATTAAAATGTATTTAAACAAACTTTTGGCAAAGGGCAAAAAGCAAAATTCAAAAATAAAATAAAATAAATTTATAAAATGAAATAAAGTTAAAAAAAAAAAATTAAATAAAAATGAAAAAAAAACATTAAAAATAAAAAAAAATATATTTTATATAAATACAAAAAAAGTAGTTGAAATATTTTATAGAAATGTAAACAAGAAGAAAGCCTTCTATGTACAATAAATACATTTTAATTTTAGGTCATATTTTTTTAACTACTTTGTATGTATGTACTCGTGTTTGTTAACCCTGCAAGCACAACGATTTTTTAGTTGTCTATCGAATATATGTATATTTGTGTGTTTAATGATAGTAAAATAGAAAAATATAAGTCAAGCTATACACGCGCATATATTGATTAATAACTGTACATACATTTAAATAAATGTGAAAATTTCTCTTAAAATTATTTTTATTATATAAATTCTACATAGCAAATACATTTTTTTTTTCATTCTCCATATTTTTCTAGTTCAATTTATCACTTTGACCCGTCCAATCTGCCACCCAATCAACAAACAACGTACCATCCAAATCAAGGCAACAGCAACAACGCCAGCTATGCACAACAACCGTCGCCACAGCAACAGCAGCAGCAACAACAACAAGTGCAAGAAATCACCACAAAGAAGCATAAAAGTACACAACAGTTGTCAACACCATCACCAATTGACTCGCCAGCAACAACACCAACACCACAAATACATTTGCATTGTAAAAATGTTGCCTGCAATGAAGGTGTAGTAGTCACTATACCGCTAGCCGAGTCTGTATCTGAGTCCTCAACACAAACGGTAGCAATGTGTGGCGATATAAATTGCGATGGTATTGGCCTGGAAATGCCTATCAACGCTACCGAAGGTATGTGTATTGTTTGCGTTTGTGATTTGATAGGTTTCGGCATCAAGTAATTCTTCATTTAAACACTTTTCAGAAGCCTCTACCCAATCGGGCGGTGATGAATGTGACAATACATCGGCCACTGGCTGTTTGAGCATTACCACCACAACTTCCACCAAAAGTTATGATCGCATTGAGGTGCAAAAATTTAAAAACCAAGCAACTAGTCCGAATATACCCGCTGATAAGGATGAGTTGCCAAAGCAGCGTGAGGTAAGTTTATGAAATAAAATTTCAATGAAACTTGAATTATTTAAATTTGTATACATCTCTCTGCAGAGTACCACAGCTTTGGAAGGTTCAACAGTGCGCGATCAACAACCAGTGATTGTGTCACAGCCAACTGTACCGCCACCACCAAGTCAAACGCCCACAAATAGTGTCAATATGCCGTTGCATCGTGAGACACCACATTCTGCGCGCTCAACACCGTTCAGTAGCAGTGAGTCAACACAAGCGAAAAATCGCGCTTCCGAAGAACCCAAACCCACAGCGTGGACATATACTCAAAGCTACCAGGCACCGGATGGCTCCACCGTCTTTCATACGACCACAACACCCAGTGGCACGCCATATTGCACCACGACATATCAGCAGGGGGTAAGTTTAGCGCCCACATCAGTTTGAGTTTTAAATTAAATTTGTTTAATTTTTATTTTTCACCCACACAGCCTGATGGTAGCGTTTATGCCATTCCACAGGGCATGGTCTATGCCTATCCGCCGCCAGTTGTAAGCCACGCCCCACAGAAACAGTTGAAATGTCAATTCAATTCGTTGTCTGTTTTACAGGAGGGCGAAGTGCAGAGCTATTTCATGCCTGTCTTTGATCCAAATCAACCGCGTACCGATGCCACCGGCCTAATACCAACCGGAGCGCAAGCCATATACCCGTCAGCCGCCGCAGCCGCTGGGAGTACAGCTACAATGGTACCCGTTGCAGCTGCATATCCGACTGCACAATTCGCCACCGCCAACGGTACGCCCATCTATCCGGGTCAATTGATTTATTCGAGTGATCAATTTGCAACCGGTGCTGCTACGGTCGCTGCTGCAGCGCCGGCGAACGGACAACTGCAGCAGATACCGATGACCACCTATCCGATTGGATATCCGTATGCATATAATGGTGAGTTTCAACTGTTGGTAAATACAGAATGACGCAGATGCAAAGGAATTTGAGTCGAAGCAGAAGATAAAGTTAATTTTAAGCTTATCTTAAGGTCAAGCTAGAGTTTAGATTACAGTTAATATTATGATTTAGACACAGATTGTCATCTTTGTCCATTTACTTTCAGGCTACTGGGGCCAACCGATGACATATTATGTGCCACAGCAGGCGCTCACGAACGCTGTTGCCGCCACCCCACTATTGCCAGCTCCGCCACAGCCACAAGGACCAACAACAGCAACCGCCCAAACTGTGGCTGGCCCACACCTCACTAGCGGTATCAACATAGCAAATGGCCTTGTTGCAGCTACGGCGGCGGCTGGACCGCCGTCTAACACCACCGTCGGGGCGTTAGGTAGTAGCAGTGGTAATAGTAATGTCAGTGGAGGTATCCACGCTGCGGGTCATCATGTTGTCAATACCTCCGCGTCCTCGAGTAGCTATCAGACACATAGCGGTACAACGTATTATGGTACGGGGCGTGTAAAGCGGCCAACATCTTCACACTACACCGGTCATCAGAGCGGCGGCCATCAACTGGTTACGGCAGCTATCCCAAGTAACGGCAGTGCAACTACCACATATCAATTAGGACACGCAGTACCCACTCTCACACTGGCGCCTGCACCGGGTAGTGCAGCAGCAGCAGTCGCCGCCGCCGCCGCAGCAGCAGCAGCAGTGAACACATCAACAGATCTCAATGTCGGCAGTGCAGCTACACCAGCCACAACCATGTACACGCTGCCACAACATGCGGCGCTCCTGCATGCTAACATATTCCCATATGCGCCCGCTTCAGCTGCAGCCGCTGCCGCCGCTGCTGCCGCAGGCTCAGCTACAGGTTTAGCTGCCGGCACACCACCAGTGCACACACCGGGCGCACCACCAACGGCAACGCCACAGTTAGCTGCTGCGAGCATGACTGGCGCTGCAGCTCATGCACAACCAACAAATGCTGTGATCACCCCATTCTACGCTCATCACCCGCCCATGACAGCTGCCGCACATCCCACACACGGCAGCGCCACCGTGCATACGCCCGGACCAGCTGCCATACCAATCGTCGATCCCAGCACGCTGACGGCAATCTCACATCCCACACCGACCGGTGCAAACAGTTCGAATAATGTGACGCCCGCATACAGCGGCTGCGGTAGCGCCTCACAATCAGCGCCCAGCACGCCACACTCCGTGCCTACTCAAACAGCGCAGCGCAATCCGCCACTTTTCTCCACACCGCCCATCATGAACTCGAATGGCGGCAGCAACAACGGTGGCTACAGCGGCAGTTCCACACCGCAATACTACACTGTGAGCACTGGTGGCGATGGTGGTGCCACACTAATGAGCAGTCCACATGGCAACTCTTATGTACAACACGAGAAGCGCAACAACAACAATTCGAATATGAATAACAGCAAAAAGCCGCCAGCATATCCAAGCAACTCTCTGAGTCGGCAGAACTCGTCATCCTACAATGGCGGTGGCGCCTCAAACGGCAAACCGCCTCTATTAGGCGGCAACAACGACACACGCGCCTCGCCAAATAGCGGCGGTGGCGGATATCAAGGCTCACGACCGCACGGCATGAACAAACGTGGTGGCGGCGACAAACCTCAAACGCCACTACTCAGCGGTCCACCCAGCTATGGCAGCGGTCCTACCGTTTCAGTCTTAAACAGCAATAACAACAGCGGTTACCACGTACACCACAACAATACGCAAGTTGATGCCAAACCGCCAATACGTCTGAATGCCGGCGCGGCTACTTTCCGTCAAAAGGGTAGTGGCGCCGGCGTTGGTGTCGCCTACGAATTTAGGCGCAGCGCCTCACAGCGTAACTCCCCTGGCACGGCCACCAACAGCAGCAGTAACGACAACAGCAGCAACACATCGCCGAATAGTATAGTAGGTTCAACCGGCGGTGGTGCCAATACGCCCAATTGCTATGCCACCACAGCTACGGGCTACGGTGGGGATCATCAAACTGTGGCCACCGCAACTGGCACGCCACTGTACATAGCGTCAGCACGTGGCGCACACATTCCACCACAACTGCAACACGGTGGTATGGTGGCGGCCGCCGCTGCTGCTGGCGGCACGGCAGCCGGTCTAGCGGGCACACAACAAGCCACCACAGCGGCGGTGTTGGGTGGTGCGGCGGCAGCTGAGGTAGCAAATGCGGCAGCAGCAGCTGTGGCGGCAACCGTAGCGCATCATCAGCCTTTGCTGAGCGCTTACCAGCCAGGTGCATCGGGCGTTTACATCAAATACGGACAGACGTATTATGCACATGTAAGTTGAAGTGTGTATGTGAGTGTGTAAGTGGGCTTGTTGTTAGCTTCATTTGCTGACATTTATAAAAAAATTTATTATGATTTTATTTTGAACTGTTTTTAAAGAAACTATTTCTTCTACCCTCTAGCCCTCAGTCGCTCTACCAAATAGCCGACGTTCGCCCTCAACAGAGCTGCGACCTGCGATGGCGCCCGTCGCTGGCATGTATCCAACCGTCAACATGATGATACCAGGTATTTCCCACTAAAAAAATATGTGTGCTCAATAAATTAATTGTAAACTTAACCTCATTGCAGCTGCGCCACGACACACGCAAGGACGTCATCCGAACCCCAACTATAAGGGCAATCGACCACGTTAAGAACAGCGCTGCTGGTACACAGTCAGCAGCACGTAAAAAACAAAAATAAAACAACAAAAAATCAGTGCAAGCATTGCCAACAACACACGCTGCGCGCAACTGCAAAGGAGGAATACATGCAAACGATGACGCTATACCAAAACCTAAAATTAAGTTTAAGCTAAAAACAAACAAAAAAAAAAAAACAGTAATAATAATAACCTAACCTAGTAAAACATATGCGTAGATAAACAATAATTTAAAACATAAAAAAGCATATTAGTGAAAAGGAAAAACAAAGACATAAAACAAAAAGCAACAAAATGCAATTGGAAAAAGTGCAGAAAGATAGAAATCGACAGTAAAGAAAAAAAAAATCATAAACAGAAATATTTCTGAAATAAAAATTATTTAAGCAAATACATTAAAACATAGTAGAAGCAAAATTTTGAAAAATATTTTCCGGCCCATTTTACAAAAGAAGCAGAAGAAAACACAATAAATCACACAAATTTTTGGCATAAAAAAAATTCAGAACGACGCGAAATCACAACCACAAACACAGACTTCAATAGCCAATTGAGAGAATAACAAGCATAATGCATCTATGAATCTTCCACAAGCATAAGGGTAAAATGAAAGCAGCAAATGAGAAGTCATACCATTTACCGAAATATGTCGTGCCATTGCTGAAATAGGCAAAATAAACATACACACATGCATACATACATATATATATATATGTAAAGATGCACATGCAAGCAAATACGAATACAAGGTAAACACGAAACCATAGTAAAAAAGAAAAACCAATAAAGTAAAATAAAATAAAAGTAATAAATAGAAAATGTGACACAATTCAAAAGAGACTGACTTCAGTTGCAAATTGGCAATATTCGCAGGAGGGAATGAGTCATAAGAGGGTGAGCGCCAAGTACAATATGAGGAAATATGAAAAAAAAATGCAAAAGAAATCCATAAATATAGAAATGAATAACTTTAAAAGACCATAGAACGATATGTATAGTATATAGTGCAGCGGCCATAAATGAGTAGAGAGAAGTGCAAATTTTTAGAAAAACTTTAATAGATGCTGAAAGCTTCAGCTCACCATTTCAAAATAACTTGAAGAAAATTACTAAAAACAAAAAATAATCCTTCACAATTTGTTGATCTAAATGTCAATTATATTTAAGCAGTAACTTTTTGGAAAGAAATTTCCAAAAAAAAGAGTGTGTTCAAAGCTTCGAATGACTTTTTTTCAATTTCCTATTAAATTCTCGATTGAATTATGGCTGTGGTGAATTTTTAAATATAGTATGCCATATTGAAAAAAAGATTCAAAACGATTTTTTTCTACAAAAACGGTATTTCTTTTTTTCATTTTACTCTTCAAATAACAAAATACGGAACTCATTCGATTACTGCACAAGGGAAATAACAAAACATAATAAATGTATTTCTATAAAAAAAATTAAAACAAAAAGTATTTCCAAATTCAAAATTTAAAAATTCATATTCAAATTGTTAAATCTCAAGATTGAGAAAATTCAAAATATTTGAAGTAATCAACAAAACTCTAATTTTTGTCTTGAAGCTACTATTAATGCTTAAAAAACATATTCGGCATTTAGGCTGTTCGATTGACAGTGAGTTCAGCCAAAAAAAAAATATTTTTTTTATATTTCTGCAATTTTCGGTTTATTCGGAAATGGTGAGAGATGGCGATTTGAAATTTTTAACATTGAGGCAAGGCGAATTTATTTTAGAAGGTGAAGTTGTCACATCAGATGATTGCTTGTTCTTCCTTTCATTTCAACAAATAACATAAACAAAATACATGAGCAATAGTTTTTGAATCCAACCAACAAAATACAACCAACAAATACAAAGTCTTTTAGATTGTGTACTTTTGCTACTACCGTGTGCGAATTTGCCTTGCTTCGAAGTAACTTTTTGGTAAAAAAAAATTCTAAAATTGCTGTCTTCTGGGGGCTATTAACTTACTATACTTATCATGAAATGGCATTTTTGATAATTTTTTATTATTATTTTTTTTATATCTTAATTCTTTATATAATATTAGATTTGTGTAATTTTTGTTAAATTTTTTTGTAATTGTTACTAGTATTACCATTATTATCTTTTTTTTGTTATATACAAACGAATTTATGAACCAAGTTCTTCTCACTCGTCTTATTATATTATTGTTTTTTTTTTTCAAAAAATGTCTGTTATTCACAGTTGAAATGAAAAACTGTTAGACGAAAATTTTTCAAAAACTGTGCCGCAGAAAGAAATTCAAACGCTCACGCTGGTTATGCATACTTCCAAACAGTGATGAAAAAAAGCTCATAAAATAGACTCATGACGCTTGCAAGACCCGTGCTCAACGCCCAGCACTGATTTTCCTATAAGAACGTACTAAAAGGGGATAATCTAAAAACGAATGCCACGTCAAATGCAACAGTCAGTCAAACAGTCAGTGTCTTCTTAAACAATATACATATATACATATATAAATATATTAAATTAAAAATATAATTACACGCTAAAGTAATAATAATTTTATAGTATGTAAACAATTTTACTATACATAAAAAATAATAATATTATTAATAATAATAATAGTAATAATATTAATACGAATAATAATAATCCTAAAGGTAGACGTACAAGTGGAAATAATAAAAGATGAAGACGAGTAAGAGCAAACAACTAGTGAATAATGAAAGACGAAAAAACCTGTACTAAATTAAACTTAAAGCAAGAAAAACAACTTTAGTCATAATATAAAATAAAAAATAAATATGAAAAAAACACACACACACAACACATATGTATGTATATCGGCTGTCTACTACAATAGACTACACAAACAGAAACTCCATATTTATAATTTAAAATCTTCTCATTTTCATAAAATATACAGACGCAAAATTAAAGAAATAATTTAAAAAAAAAAAAACAAGGAAACACGCAGCATGCCCCAACTCGCCAGGAATGCTAAAGAACAAAGGCTAAATTTAAAACAGGCATTTCCTTGCCAGTGCAGCAGTTTGTGAGTTGTACGAAAGCTTTAATAAATGTACATACAGTAAATGCATTGAGAACAATAAATTCTATTCATAAAAGAAAACAAAAAGCAAAAATTCAAAAAATTTCAAAAATCCAAAAAAAAATTTACTAGCTTATAGATTGTTTTCTAACAAATATATGTATATTATATTATTAGGAATTTTACACAACTGGCATGTCGATGGCAACAAAACCAAAAAACAAAAAAAATCTTTGAAAGTGATTAAATTAAATTAGAAAAAAGTCATGAATAAAAATTTAAATTCTAAAACTTTTCATCGTTTCTAAAACAAAAGGTGATAGATTATTTAGTGTAAACTGTCTGCTGCATTGGCAATGTCGCCACTGGCTTGTGGTTTGGGTAGGCGCATAGCATTATTTCCATTATTTCGCGATTTTTTCTTTTTTTTTGGAACTAGAAACAATACAAACATTAAATATTTTTTAACACAATAAAAAAAATGGAAATTGTACATAAAATTCTAAATACAAAAACTACAAAATTTTCGGACATACAAACTACAGCTACACACCTACATACATACATACTCGTATAGTTTACTATATAAGCCATATACTTTATTTATATTGTATTAATTAAAATTATATATACATATATAATTATTTAATATATACTTATACATACAATATATACATACTTATGTATATACATATGTATATACCTATAAAAAAAAGGATAAAAACAACAATGAAAGTCCAATATTAGAGAATATGTTACTATTATTTATGTTTATTGATATGAAATTTATTTAAATAAACTATTAATATTGGAAAACAAAACAAGCAAACGGTGATTAATTAATTGAGTAGCAGCATAATTCAAAAGCAAGAAAAAAGCAGAGCATAAAATTTATATAATATATATTTTAAATATATATGTTTATATTATTATATTTTTCTTTTTTTTATGATTAATTTTTGGTATTTCCTCTTTTTAGTGCTATAATGCAACTGTTTCCCAAAAAAAAAATGAGAAAGTTATTTTTGCGTCCCGAGTTGTGATTAAGTTTCTAGGGAGCTGACTTTTCCGTATAAAATTTAACATGAATTCATAGATTTGATTAAAAAAAATTCAATCTATTACTGATTATTGTTAAAATTTTTCAGTTTTATTTTCAAAACTGACTTAATAAATTTTTTTTTTAATTTCAAATAAATATTTCTTTAAATTTTTTTAAATTTAAGTGTATTCTATGGTGTCAACCATGATACAAAATCAAAAAAACAAGAAAGGAAGACAGTTCCATATAAAATGGGTAATAAATTAAAAAATTGTTTGATTTTAAAAATAATAACTTTAAAAATAATATATATATCTTTTTTCTTATAAATATGCTAAGGCGCATCTGTTAGATTTCAAAAGGTAAACTGCTAACATTGGAATTTTTGACAATACATATAACTTTTCTTTCTTTCTGTGGAATAGTGTGATTTAAAAATTTTGTATTTCTAGCTGCGCCTCAAACTATGCAACTAATTTAGAATATATAGAGAAAAAAATGTAAATGAAATATAAAAGAAAATATTTAAAAACCACTCAAAATATTTTTTTTTTTATTTTTTTAATACAACCCTATTGCAGAGAAATTTCACTGCTTGCGTGAGTGGCGCTTCGGTTGAAAAACATAAAAAAAACTGCGGAATTGATGATTTTTATATTTACTAAGCATAGCTCTCACAACACTGTGAAAGTAAATTGAGTTTAAATGTGTTTTTAGTGGCATGGTTTTTTTTTTTTTTTTTTTTGAATATAAACGTATTTTTAGTGGCATCTTTTTTTCGTTGTGTTCTAGAATATATTTTTACAGGAATCTTTAATTTAAGCCAAAAAATGCCTGTATAACTTTTAATAAATTTTAATCGATAAGGTCGAAACCTTTAGATTTTTTTCATTAAGGTAGTTATTAAAATTAATTTTTTTCATTGTTAACAGGTAATGTTAAGACGTTAACAGTTTATGTTAAACTGAAGTGTGCTGTTAAATCACAGCAAACAGCCATTTTAAAATTAACGTTAAGAATGAACTTGTGAAATTTCAACATTAACAATTTCATTTGGTTTCGATAATACGGCGGCGGAAAGAAACAAAATCTTTTCGTTAAGCTTA